AACACCTCAACCTTAGGAGCAGGGTCACTCACCTTCGAGCTGCTGTGGTCTTCGAGTGACTGGTTAAGCTCCTTATTTTACTAATCGGCTAAATATATTTACTCTTTGTGGGACATTCCTTAAAATTATCTTCCCCCCAAATGCAGCTTTTTAGTTAACTGCTGTCTTTTAGGGGCATGCAGCTGTTCTGGTTTTGAATGTGTGTGTGTGCACGTGTGTGTACGTGTGTTTGTTGGAGGTTCTCCAGGGTGTGTTGTTTTGGGGCTACCTGGGTTTTTCCACTGGGAGCAGAGTACAAGCCAGAGGCATCCCAGGACACACTCCTTGGGCGGAGTGCCAGACGGGAAGTTTTGAAGCCAGTGACATTGTCGTGATTTGATGAATGAGGATAGAAGGGACGAATGGGGGCAGAATCCCACTTCTGAATTTTAGGTAAACATGCGATGTGGAGGACTGAGAAGGATGATGGCTTTTAATTCAGTCCTGAGTGTGAAACAGACTGGCGAGTAAAGAAGGCGTGCAACACGCGGCGATGGGTCCTGAACACGGGACAAGTTCCTGGCACTGTTGGAGGTCTGAGAAGAATCCAAAATGGTAATTTCAGTTCATTTCTACTTTTGGAGGGATGAGATTAATGAGCCGCAAAAACTAATGATCACCATTTGGCTGGCTCGTGAGCCTGGGCAACCTTTTAAGGGCTCTGAATTCCAGGAGCTGCTTCATAGGGTGGGGGAGGGGAGTGGGCGGAGCCTTGGCAGGAAACTCAGGTAAAACTGTGGCTGGAAGGGGAGTCCTTGCTTCGTGCCACTGACCCCAGGGGCCCAAGTGACCGCTTTAGGTCACTTGGACCCCAGGGGCCCAAGTGACCGCTTTAGGTCACTGGAGGAGACTTATCAAGCCCCCCGGAGTAGTTTGACTCAATTCAGTCCAAGTGGTTTCAAACCACTTAATTAAATGACAGCAATTTACTTGGTGGCTACCCATGTGTGTGGCTAGGGTTAGGGATGTTCTGGGGTCGCTCAGTCTAACACAATAGCCGCTACCCCACGTGCCTATGGAACACTGGAAACAGGGCTAGTCCAAATCGAGATGTGACCTTAGTATGAAATACACAGCGGGCTTTGAAGGATTAGTATGTGAAAGAGTGTAACATATCTCATTAATATTTTTGTTCATATTGATTGCATGTTGATAATATTTTGAATATATTAGGTTACATAAAATATATTATTGAAATTAATTTCACCTATTTTTTTCCTGTGGGAAATGTGGCTACTAGAACATTTAAAATTTCACACCTGGCTCCCACAGTTGTGAGTTGCATTGCACTTCTGTTGAACAGAACCATTCCAGGGAATTAAAGGACAGGTGTCTGAGTGGTTATATAGGCTAACAAATGTGACCCTGTGGGACTGTCCTTGGGGGGCAGCAACCCTAAACCGCTCAACACAAATCTCCTTGTTCTTTCTTTTTTCTTTTTATGCCAGGACTGTATTCATTATACAAAGCTGCAGTTAAATGTGCGTGATCGTTCTGTCCCTTGTTCTGAAAATGGGGAGAGACTGCCGGGATCACGCCCCACCTGCCCCTGCCTAAGTTTCCTACAGTCGTGTACAGGTCAGTGTGATGATGATGTTTACCTGGAAGAATGAAAAGCAAAAGTACACTGTAGCTTTCATTCCTTATTTGGCCCTGACAGACAGAGTCTATCTCAAACATATGGAACAACCATGAACGCCCGTGTTGTGTCCTGAAGGGAGGACCACGGTGACAGCCTGTGACCGACGGCGCTGGTGGAGCGCAGAGCGAGAGGGAGACGGGGCGGGGCGCAGCCGTGACGCTGCCGGTAATTGTGGAAACCAAAATGCGGCAGGTCTGCAGTGGTACCTGCAGGCGGCACGTGGGAGCACGGGGGTGCCCCCAAGAGTGTGGAAATGAGGGAAATATGATGGCCTTCTGAGAGCCGACTAGAAACGTTATGCAGACACCTGGAATGCAGGGTCCTGAATGCAAGCCCCCCGTGCAGGTGATATGAAGTGAGCCCAGCGTCAGGACTGCCACTTCGGTCCCCGCCTGTCGAGGCAGCCAGAGTTCCATTCCTCTGCTTTTTGCTGGATGAGCCCAGCATCACAAAACCTGATTTTTTAAACAGATACCTAGACAGGTAAAGGCTGGCAACTCATTCTAAAAATGTAACCACTTTGAGATCTGAACCAAATAACTCTAGTCTTAAAATCAACAGACAAATTTCCTCTGTTTGCTTCTGTATTTACTGAACCACCTTTTGATCACATTTTTTCTGTTACTGAAAGTTTATTTTTTTCCATTACCATTAGTCCCCGCAACACTCACCGCACTGCTGCCCACGTCCGCCAGTCCTTTTTCTCCGTTGCTTAGTCCCTGCGCCCCTCACCCCCCCGCCCCCTTTGCTGTCGCCTGCTCTCCATCCGTGCACCTGTGTCTGCTTTGTTTATTAGTTCGGTTTGTTCATTAGATTCCACGTACGAGTGAAATCATACAGCACTTGTCTTTCTCTGACCGGCTCATTTCACTCAGCATAGTGTTCTCCGGGTCCACCCATATACGGTCACAAAAGGTAAAATTTTAACGGAAAGGTAAACTTTTTAATGCAAATCTGACCATTAAAGAATTAAGCACCATTTGTAGACACTGCCCATGTGTTAGACACCCGTGCTTCTTTCCACCCCGATGCAAGACAGTGTTATGATCAGATTGCTGACGTGACCCCCTGGGTCGCAGCCTTGGTGCCTGTTTCCAGCACCTCTGCATTGCCGCTCTGCGTCCCTGACAGCTGGTGAGTTCTGGTAAATGGAATATTCCCAGGTCTCCCAGTAAGAGTGGATTTACACTGATACGGAACCTCCTGGCCCTCTCTGTCCCCCCCTCCCCGCAACCCCGCTCTGAGCCCAGGGTGAATATTTGGGTCTCTACGGTAGTCGTGTCAGTCCGTGTGAATCAGCCAGGTGGGATGCTGGGAATCCAGCTCTGTGATTTTGGACAATTCAATTCATCTCTGAGAGATGGGCCTGCACGTTGAATACTAAACCACTAGGTTTCCAAGCCTGGGAGACTGACGGCCAGATCAGGCAGGTGACAAGTTCGTGTAGAAAAACGCCCCAGGCGAGGCCTCTGGGAAGCAGCACGGGGTTTCTAGCAACAATCCTACCTTTGCGGTGACTTTAGCAGAAAGCACAATTTCCAGTTTCTTCTTTACACATTATGTAAATGGGAGAGAAAGCTCTGCAAAGCAAGTTTCAGTGTGGAATAGAAACTCAACCTAACCAGCAAATCCAGCACTCTGTTTAAGTGCGTTTAATTTGAGATGTGTTGCTCTCTCTGAACCGAGGAGTTCCGCTACTCCCTCCGCAAGCTGTACATACGTTTACGAAAATAACACTATAACCTACTAAGGAGCTCATACTTATTGTTTCATACCGAAAACACGTCTTAAGGTACTTCCTTTCCAATGGAAATACCTGAATCCAATTGAGAAACCCAAATGGAAGCTATGGACAGATTAAAATATGGCAGGAAATAGGAAGGAACATGCTGAAGGAAGTGGGCGAGGAAGTGGTCAGATGCTGTGAGAGTGAGAGTGGACAGAAAGGTCAGCCTCGGACTCCTGGAGAGAAACCGCAGTGATCACCGAAGGCCACCGGTCGGTGGGCTGGACGGCCCAAAGCCAAACCTCTGCCCACAAAAATGAGCACAGAGTTTGAACGAGTTGTTTGGCTGTTTGCAATGTAGTCCAGTTGCAGCATAGATTCTGGATATTGTGGGTTCCTGCTCTCTCAACATATTTTATTCCTGGAAAGTGTGCTATAGATGTGAACTGACAGAGGCCGACAGAGGAAACACTATGGTATTCCAGTCCAAGACCGTGCTGACCCAGTGACTACAGCAGGGGTCAGCGCTGGAGGAGAGGCCGGAAGCTCAATTAGTGTAAAACTGGGAACACAGGGCTCGCCTAGGCCATGTGTCTCGGGGGACGTCTGAGTGTCTATGGAGTTTAAGAAGCTTTTTTTGGTTTTACTACTGGTGGATCTTGACCCACTTTCTTTACTAAGAAACCATAGTAACTAAAATTAGGGTAATCTGATAGGAATTTGGAGATAACCACAAGTCAGAATTTCATGTTAGAGTATTTTTTTTTAAGTCATAAGAAATAGTTACCTTCAACAGCGAGAGGGGATTCGTGGAGGAGGGAGAAGATAAAGCTGTCTGAGCATTTCCCCACCTTTTCAAGGCAGAGACTTTCTCCTTCTCTTGGCCTTTTCTCCAAGGCCTCCTGAGACCAAGAGCCGGTTTGTTTTTGTGGGTTTGTGGAAGATGGATACTGGGAGTATCATCTAAAGTCAAATTGTGTCAAGAAGGTGGACATTTGGTCTCTATTCATAGATTTTTGACTTAATGCCTCTTTTCCACTGCGTATTACATACTGGATGAGCTTTCTCATTAAATTACTACAGCATTAAATTGTTTAGTCCTCACAACCTCCCTGTGAGGTACTATATCTCCTTTAACAGGCAAAGAAACCGGCATAAGTAAGTTACGTAACTAGCGCTGGGTTAAAGAGCTGCTAAGTGTCGGTGTGGAGATTACACACCAGGCAACTCTGCTCCAGATGCAACTTGAAGACACGAGACTGTCTCATGGCAGGCTAGGAGATTTTTCTAAGGAGTGTCTTAGGCAAACAAGGATTCCAATTCTGCTACAAATTTGGGAGGTATATGGGATCTCCGTGATCCATACCATCATTTGACTGTAGCCCCCGGACCTGAAAGATGAACCCAAGAGGACTCCTTTGCGCGAGTCTTCTGGTGAAGAACAGGAGTTCCCGAAAGCTCGTGGAATGCACTGGGTTGTAATAATATTTGATAATTAGCCCCCACAGTCCTCCCTTTGCCACTAACGCTGCCCGGCGTGCAAAAAGAAAGGCAGAGAGCTCCTCGGCACCCATGCGCCCCACCGTTTCTCACCATATCTCCAGCTCCAGACTGGTGCTGTTGATGTCCGGGTCGTTGAAAGCACAGTGGAGCAAGTGCTGGAATCCGCTCACTTCCAGCTGACTGTAGCAGGAGAAGGAGTAGTCGTCCAGCTCTGCGTCCTCCAGGTCTCCTGTGGGGGGCGGGGACAGTCCTGCCGCGGTTAGCGAGGCAAGGGAGTGCCTGCTTTTTTTCCTTTTTTTTTTTAGAGATAAAGGACACTTCATTTCTCATAATAATAATACTTAAAGTACCAACTTTTAGGGGGGAAGGTGCCCGCTTTTGAAATCTGCAGTCACTTTAGTGAAGTGGCAGCCTTTGGTGCTGGAATGAAGAAGTGACTGTAGTGTATTTCAAGAAGGAAAGCCCAGGGGTAGAAATGAGAAAGTCTTCAAAATTAACCACCCCCCCACCCCCCGCTGAAAGAAAAACCCCCAAGCCAAAACAAAACCTGATGAGCACATATTTTTCTAGTAGCAAAAAAAATTCACAGCCCTGGCTGGTGTAGCTCAGTGGATTGAGCGCAGGCTGCGAACCAAAGCGTTGCAGGTTCGATTCCCAGTCAGGGCACATGCCTGGGTTGCAGGCCACGGCCTCCAGCAACCGCACATTGATGTTTCTCTCTCTCTCTCTGTCTCCCTCTCTTCCATCTCTAAAAATTAAAAAAAAATTCATCGCAATTAAGAAGTAACTCCCAGATACTTCTATTGTTGGTTTAGTGCTTCAGAGACCCAGAATGAAGCACTAGCCACAGTCTTTCCTCTATTTAAATGGTGATTTCTTCTGTGAGCTTGCACGTTTCAAGTAATAAGACACTTTATCTCCATTATTCACATGTTACCTAATCTAGCCCTTGACTTGATTATAAATCTTTCCCCTCTCAGTTAGATTTTATTTATTTATTTTTGGAGATTTTATTTATTTATTTTTGGAGAGAGGAGAAGGAAGGGAGGAGGAGAGGGAGAGGAACATCGATGTGCGAGAGAAACACTGATCAGTTGCCTCTCGTAGCGCCTTGTCTGGGACTGAACCTGAAACCCAGGCATGTGCCCCAAGCAGGAATCGAACCAGCGACCTTTTGCTCTGCAAGACAATGCTCAACCAACTGAGCCACTCTGGTTAGGGCTCAAGTATTTTTTTTGAATGAAGGCAGGTGATAGAATTCTTACAATCAGAAGTTTACTTTTTTGAGGGGTAGCCTTCCCTTGCCTAAGTAGGAGTCCCAACTAAAAGCACCCTTGATTCTTTCTATTGTGTGGATATTTATTTAAGGTAGTTTGTCTTAAGCTACTAACTGAGGCAAACGTGGTTAGAAAAAAATTAGATCTGACAGGACTTAAATCTTGTGGAGCTTCCTGCAAATCTTATAGACAATGCTTCTGTGTTTATTGATCTTCTATAGCTACTGTTTCTCGTAGATATGAGCAAATTCTGGAAGTACGTGGGGAACCATAAACTTTATGTAGTCATTTTTGGAAATACTGTCACAGGTAGTATTTAATTTGTTAAGTTGGGGTGAAGCCCTTAAATTTGAATAGACATTTTGTATGTATATTTCACAATATTAAAAGAGAAAAACCTGTCAGTAAGTATACTCATACTGGAACATGAGCAAACCCGTAGTAACCAAAGGCATTCTGAGTGCTCGAGTGTGAGCTTATGATTGCTTGTGGGCCCATTGGTACTGGAAATTAGATGCTTCTAGGACTTTAAATCAGAATCTATAAAATATACTAAAATTAAGCCCCAGTTGAGTGTTCCAGAGGCCAAGAGATGTACACACAGCAGCCCCTTTATTTAAATAATCCAGTCGGTCTGTGGGGAGGTTGGCAAAGTCAGCTTGAGGGGACCAGCCAGCTGGGCGACAGGTCAGTTCAGTCAAAGCAGCAAACTTGGGAAGGCCCCAGCTGGACAAGGTCTGTGGGCACGGCTCTTCCTGAACATTCCTAGAAGCCGTCCGGCTCACGGGTTTGCTCCCAGCAAAGGCTCCTTATATCATTTCAGCAGGGGACGGTCCTCCTCCTGATGACAGTTTTAAGTAACGCGGCAGCCTCCCCTTTAGGTTCCCAGAGCATGCTCATTTGTAATCTTGCAGACGTGAATCTCGGTTCCTGAGAGCTGGCGCCTGTCTCAGCGGACAGGCTCTGGACAGTTTCAACCTGACCTCACATACAAGTCTCACAGTGTCTCGATGGTTTCCCTTCTCTGGACTTCCACCCATCCTATGCAACAGAACATGCAATACTATTCGGATTCAGACATCTGTGGATCAACTCGGTCTCCAAAATATTTTAACGTATAAAATAAGCCAGAGGGAGAACAGGGTACAGGATGCTAGGCATTGGCAGAACAGAGCATGCCCATCATCCCCAGCCACTGAGACTGACAAAGTGAGTTTGCTGAATATTCTCATGCCATATACAGAGCATTGGTCATATAATTAAAGTGCCTAGATCTTGAGATGTAGCTCATCGACTCATCAGCAGGTATTTCTGGGCAAAGTTGCCTTGTAACCAACAAAAATTCCCCTCAACAACTTGCACAACTGCATGTCATTTTACAAAGGGAATGCTACACCTGATCTAAGCTGACAATTCTTAGGTAAGAGTAATACACAGAGTGGTTAAGGCCCCCAACACCAGAGCTGGACAGATGTGGGTTCAAATCCTGGCTATTCTGCTTTGTAGCTGTGGTCCTCTGTCAGATTACTCACTCCTTCTAAGCCTCAGGGTTCTGATACATAAATTCATGTTATTATGAGGAGCGACTACAAAGACTTAGCCTAGAACACAGTAAAACCTCAACAAGGGTTATCTGTGACTATTATCATACTCATTTTTGAGCAATAAACAATGAAAAGGTAAAACAAGAATTCAAATTCTGAGAATATGAACATGAAAACTTTGGGGCTCCTTTGAAAAAGAGTTCTCTGCTGAAGGTGCTATTACTTGGGCTTTGAAACTACATAGAGCTTTTGAACAACGGTGAGTTAACCTATGATTTTTAGATGCTCATTACCTAAGCATATTTTTCACAAAAATTTAATTCTCTTGGAATGTGCAGTATATATAGACAAGGTAGTGTGGTTTTGAAGTCTACCTGCTGAAAAGAAGTAGTGGATTAAAAGTGTAAGTGGTTTCGATTTTTAAAAAGTAGCTACTTCTTCTCTTGATCACCCTTGTGGTTCTCGGAGAACTAACTTATCTTTCGACAAACAGCAGCTGATTAGTTTTTACACCAAACTGGGAAGTGGCTCGACGTCATCATGGGGATGGGTGGTTACAGACCTCCTCAAAAAAAATGTCTGAAATTTAAGGAGCTGAGTGAAAACTCAGCTTGCATTACAATTCTTATTTCTCTTAAAAATCGTGTGGTCACTAGGGAGAAACAGAGGGAATGAATACATTATCCTCCAAAGAGTAAGATTTGTGTGTGGCCTGCCAAGCCTCTCCGTGCCACACGCAAGGCAGTGTTCACTGTGGAATAATCACCGTCCTCCACACAGTGACTCACACCCGGTCACGCTGTGAAAAATGTCAACCCCCTGACAATTCCTGTAATAAAAGCATTCTAGGGATTTCCATCCTTAGTAGTTATATGACTTGAAAATCTAAGCTGAGTCATTAGGCTGCTGCTGTGTTTGATATCTTTGACAGGAGAATAGGTTTTAACTCTTAAAGTGGAAAAGCTTCATTTTCACGAACAAGCTGGTGGTCCACCTTCCCAGGCAGCCCCCACCCCCCACTTTCTGCTGCTGCTGCTGCTGCTGCTGCTGCTGCGCGTTTGTGTTTAGTTTTATTGTAATTACAACAATTTACTGAGTAGGCAGCATCTGCTTCTAGTACTAAGTTCTTCAAGGATCTCGCAGAGAACTATTATATGATAGTAAATTTATTAATATGAAGACACTTAAATATGTTTCAATGAGACAACTCATTGAGACCTCTTTCTAGGCTTGGTTATTAGGAATTTCACAGAAATCTATAGAAACTTAAGTATTTGGAAGACATTTTCAAATAGGTATTGAACATCCACTGTGTCCTATACACTCTTTAGGTGCTGGGGATGTAGCAAGGGTAGGTGCAGACAAAGCTGTTATTTCTAGACATTATTTTATCATGAAAGTTATGTGTTTGGAACCTCTGGAAAAGCTAAGCAAAACCAAATTGAGCTTCATTTCTTAGCAAGGTCTAACCAGCAAGCTCAGAGGTTGCATCTGAATGGGTGTTCCTTTGGTAAGATCGGAGAAATTAACCAGCATTAAGATCCACATTTGGAGAGACAAATGCCTTTCTCTTGAAAATTCCAAGAGTTTATAAACCACCCCCAGCCCCCTGTCCTGGTGGTTAGAACATACACAGTGAGAGAACAGTGGCAAGTTCTCCGTTCCAACCCAATGCCCGGCTCAGGTCTACTCGGGATCTGAGCAACCTGAAGCGTGTTCTCAAGGTAATCTGAAATCCTAAAGAAAAGTTAGAAATGACTCACCATTCTGTGCATAGCCACTTTCTCCAGAAACGACTTGAAGTAAATAGAAGAGAATACTGAAAGCTGTACTGAGAATTGCCATTCTGAGAGAGACAAACAGAGAAAAGCAGGCGTGTGAGCCTGTGTGTAGGAATGAATGAGACAGAGAAAGCGCGTGAGATTGAGTAAGAGAGACTTAAAGCTACAGCTATAGGGCTTTATACTTACTTAACCACAGACAGGGGGGAAGTATAAACATGGCAAAAAAGAAGGCATGTACCAGAAACAGGAAGCCAGAGTAAAAATATTGCTGTTCTAAGCAGAGGTAGAAGAAATGAAGAGATAGAGCATTTGAAATGATTGTCTTACTCTGGTATTTCTCCTGGAAGCCCCAAACTGACTGTGCTTATCGGAAAGGAAGGTGGTGGATTCCAATGTAGACTCATACCACTTTAGACTAGAGTGTGAATTGGGCCCGCGTTAAAAAAACCATGGGACAAAAATCTAAACTTACAAAGCCAATCATCTGATTGTCAGGGATAAGTTTAGCTCTAAAGAAAGATTGTGCACTTAATGAGGTGATTTATTGTAGGTATATGTTAAATGGTCCACCTGCAATCTCTGAACATAAAGAATTTCACAAGAAGAGCAATTTTTCTGTTTTGTTCTCTGTGTAGCCCTACTAGTTACTTATACTTCACCTATTAGAGTTATTTGTTTAATTTAGGAGTTAACACACTGTGGCCGAGGGGCCAAATTTGGCCTACTGTCTGTTTTGTAAATAAAACTTTATTGAAACACGGCTGCTTTTGTGCTATAGCAGGGGAGCTGAGTAGCTGAGACAAACACTGTACGGTGCACAAGGTGGGTAAAATCTTTACTATTTGATCCTTTAGAGACAAAGTTTGCTGATCCCTTGTTTATTGGATACAATAGCTATTTTCTCCATGAATTCAAAATAGGATTCTAGCCCTGGCGGGGTGCTCAGTTGGTTGGAGCATTGTCCCTTATGACAGAAGTTTGCAGGTTTGATTCCCCGTCAGGGCATATACCTAGGTTTCGGATTCCATCCCTGGTTGGGGTGTGCATGGGAGGCAGCTGATTGATGTTTCCCTCTTACATCAGTGTTTCTCTCTCTCTCTCTCTCTCCCCCCTTCCTCTTTCTAAAGTCAATAAACAGTACCGTCAAAAAATAATAACAAAATAAAATAGGATTCTGTGTGTGAAAACCTGGTTGCCACACAACCCTCAGGAACGCGTGGTCCCAGTAAACCATGCTAGTATCCACGTACGTGGGGCAGAAGCCCGAGGCAGTGACAGCAATGATTCAGACTCTTCCCAGGCTTGCTACCGAGCAACATTGTTCCCACCTTGGCCTCGGGGTTAAAGCACTGATGTTTGTTAAGTCTGGCTGGCCTCTTGGTGATCCCTGGAGTTTCGTCCGAGAGCCACCGATAGTGATTGGAGGCACAGGTTAGGAGCCGTCCTGTCATTAAAGGACAGAAGCCCCTGCTGTAGGACATACTGCTGCTCATTGGATGACTAACCTAACCTGCATCTAAGCCGTAAAGCTGCACTTTCTTGACTCCCAGGAGCTCTCTGGGAACAAAGCCACGTGACTACAATGTGAAGGTACGGCAGACACGGATGTGGAGTGGACAGTGAGTGATGAGCTTCTGTTCAATTCACTGTTACTGGGTAGAACTGGTCCCCTGGGCTTGTAAAAATGGTGGCGTTAACAAAGATAAATAACATCCCTCAGAGTGTTTACACTTAGTGGTAGTTCTTTGAAAGCTGCGTGACTGTGTCTTATCATGATAGTCATGTGACCATCTCGTCAAAGGAGAAGGGAGATGGGGCATTGGTGCTAGTCTCTGGGAACCCCTCTTCAGGGTTGAGGCAGGCCCAGTGAGAGATGATGTCACACCCCAGACTAGACACTCAAGGGGTATTTCAGAGCAAGAAGCCAAGTGACCAGGACATTATCTTTCCTCTTCCTCTGCTGAGGCCATTTTTTTTCTTTTTTCTTTTTGGCACTTTATTTAGAAACATCTTCCAAATCAATTAAAGAGTGACAATTTGGTGCATCAGATAATAATTTGTGTTCTTGTTTCTAATCTTGTTTTTAAAGCTTGGTTAGAAAATCGGAAGCCTGATTCACAAAAGTTGGTGTGTTTTGTGTGTTGAGTTGAATATCCTTTTAAGAAAGTTGTAATTATGAATTTCCATGAGCTAAAAGAAGCGTTCAAGGAGAAATCACAAATTCTATCACCAACACAGATCTCATGAACTGCTCACCGACTGTCACTCCATGGGTGAGTAATTGGGTCATGTCTCTTTAAATTCTCTTGTTTATCATGTGAGTGGACTATCATTTTGATTGTATCTCTTTCCTTTAGTTGTGAAGATGTAAAAGAACAAAGCCCAGGCACAATATTTTGGTACAGCATGTGCTGGTTTGCTCAGGGGATTTCCACTGGTGTGCTTGCTCTCTTTGGGTGGGGCAGGAGATGCCAAAGGACCTCGGAGAGAAACCCAGAAAAAGCACAGGGCGCTCAAAGGGAGGAGAAAGCTCACTCGTCCTTGTGGAGGTGATGGGGAACCGTGGTGCCTCCTCCACTTTCTTCACCCAGGTCCCATTGGTCCTTGGGAAGCTTAGACCACCCGAGGAAGGACAGCCTCGCTCCACCTGTCCCCGAGAGAGAAGCGGAGAGATGAGAAGGGCAGATCAGGAAGGGCACTCGGCACACCTGAGCCTCCAGCTGCGCAGTCAGCTGGACTGTGGGCGAAGCAAGGCCTGACGCAGCAGCTCGGTGGGAGAGCACATCTTTCTCTGGTGGCTGCCTTTCACCGCCACCTCTCTCTTCCCTCTTTTGTAGCTTGTCTTCCTTTTGTGAGTTGCCATGATATGCAGAATCACAAAAAATGAAAAGCATTTGATTATTTCTCGGGGACGAGTAGAACACGGGGGCCTGGTAAGACTCCCAGTGTCGATCGATTAGTCACATCTCTCTTCCTCCTTATTTTTGTGATCGTTCAGACCACTTGTTAAACAATGTGCATAAAGATTTTCTTTTTCTTTTCATACTGTGGTAAGTTATGTGCCCTTTGTATTTGAAGAGCTCAGATAAGCCCTGGCTGGTGTGGCTTAGTGGATTGAGCACAGGACTGCAAACCAAAGGATTACCAGTTCAATTCCCAGTCAGGGCACATGCCTCCATAGTGGGCCAGGTCTCCAGTAGGGGGCGCGCAAGAGGCAACCACACATTGATGTTTCCCTCTCTTTCTCCCTCCCTTCTCCTCTTTCTAAAAATAAATAAAATCTAAAATAAAGTAAAATAAAATATTTAAAATAAAGAGCTCAGATAGATGACCTTGCAGCTAGATCTGGAACTCTGGAAGGTTAGAGTTGGAGGAGTGTGCACTCTTCATTTGATTGTTTGTGGTTTGTTGACTTCGACTCAAGAAGTCCCATACTTTTCCTCCCTTTTTTCCCCCTCCATGGGTTACAGACACAAATTTCTCTGGAAAAATTCAGGTTGAGCATCTGAACTTATCACTGAGCTTCACCATCTGGACTCTTCTCTTAGGGACAGAAATTTCATTTCATCCCTCGACAGAAATCAATCACAAAGCTGTGGGACAGACACCAATGCAATACCCCTTTTAGCGCCTTTGGGAAGCGAACTGTTTCAAGAGCTAAAGTGCATCTCTGGGTCAGGTTTCAGATGGAATTTACAAATTAACCCTTACACATTTAGTAATTTGTCTTCAGTGGGAAAGATTGAAAAGCCACGCACCTTGGGATTGAAGACTGAAAGACAATAAAGTGAGACAATAACACAACCGTAATAATACTAGGCCGTATCTGTTGCTATGGGAATATCCTGGGCACAACCTGGTGTTTGAAACATACTCACAAAGTTCCAAAACTCGTAATATCGCCTCTGTATTAACTGTCCCTCCCCCTACGGTCACTTACCTTTTTAAATGAACAGTTAGCTTTTATCCATAACAGAGGAAGTAATCTTGGACCCCTGCCTTCTGCTGGAAAAACAAAAATCCAGGCCAGCTCAGTGGGGTAACTGGGGACCCCCAAGAGCTGTGGGAAAAGAGAAACAACAGCACCCAAGGGAGTCGAGTAAGTGAGGCTGGCTGTAGGGAAACCTAAGTTGGGTCTAGTCCTAAATGAATCTTTTTTAGCATTTTATCAGTGTGTGCTGAGTCAGTCCCTGGGGCTGCGAGGGGGAGTCCCAGCATCGCGAAGTTTCATTTCCAGGCGCATAATATTTTCCTTGTTGTGGCTCTTCTTTCATTTCCCTTTCCTCCCTACCCCATGTCTTCAGCCCCACGTCTCGCTGTCACTCGTGTTCTTTCTGGGCAGAGTTTGAAATGTCACAGTTGTGTTGCCTCTACGTGATTTTAGTCTTGGTCTTTGGATACAACAAAAATGGAATCTTTGAGTGCCAACTGTTCCTTCTTTGCTGAAGACATTGCTGCCAGAAAGGGAGTACTGTGATGTCAGGACATGCCCACATTTCGATAAAGAAGTACCCAGGAGTCTCCATCCTTGGGGGAGGTGGCGTGCCTTCTGGCAGTGGGGGCAGATCCTGGGGGAGCAGCTGGGGCGGGCGTGGGTTGGACTGTTGCTCACAGTCTCTCTCTCAGGCCCTTCAGAGCCGACAGTTCATGGTAGGATCCTGCTTATAACCCCCATGCGAGGCGTAGCCTCCCACTGAGAGAAAGTCTAGGTTAAGTGACGCCATCCTGGGCCCTGGCCCATGCCTCTGTATAGATTCCCTTGCCTTGGTGTGAGCTGTCGTCCCACAGTCCATTTTCGAAGGGATTGCAGGGCTGATTGCTACACCTGCACTGAAACCCAGACAACTGGGAAAATTCATAAAGGCCCTCAATTCTATAGCATACGCTTCCCCTGCCCTCTCCGAACCCAGCCTCTGTGTAAATCGAGTCCCCAAGAACAGCATGGGTATGTCATTATTTCCCAACTGAAATATACAAAGTTGACATAAGAAGGAGCCCTGAGTGACAGTGTTCTCGGAATTGCCACAGAGAAGTAGCACGTGTCCCTAAAAAAGAAGGAAGGGATTAGAGTCTGTTTGTTGCCAGGCCACAGGCCCTGGGCTAAGTCACTTCCAGAAACTCTTCAAGCGAAC